ATGGCGGAACAGATGCCATGGGGCAGCAACTCCGGCTGCGAACTGCTGACGGAGAAGTGTCTGACTAATGGCGTCACCCGGTACCCGGAAATGTTTTGCAGATCTCCAAGTAATCTTATGGAATGCGCATCGGATCGTTTTGCCGTGGGGAATTGTAGGATTTATCGCTTTGCAAGCCCTCTTCCCGCAACGTTTCAGTACTTCAGGAATCCCAGACGCGGTGGGTTGTTTGGCGAGCTAATGGACTACTGTCCCTTCATTTTTTCGTATGAAGGCACGCAGTGCATTAATGGTGACGCAGACGTTATACGTGGAAGCCGCATTGGCCCAAGATCAAGGTGCTTAAAAACGAGAAGGCTGCGTGATTCTTTTGGTTTCACTGGGGACGTGTGCGCCGAGGTGTCGTGCGACAACGATACGGTGAGTGTGCGGTACCTTGGGGATGACGTCTGGCATGCATGCCCAGAGGGCAAACGTATCACACCAACTGGGTCGGTGTTCAGGGGCGGGAAGATTGTGTGCCCGAGGCGTATCGAAGTGTGTTATGTCCACTAGGCACGCGGTGCTTGCGCCGATGCGATTCAGTTGGTATTAATTTTCCCCTCAATTTTAGTGGTCGTGCTGGTCACGGTTTTAGTATTAATGTGTTGGTTGTAGCATTAGGAAGCGCGCTGCGGAAAGTCTAAATTTGGGATGTTTGGGTTCGTGCTAAAGGCAGGCAGCTCCACGTGAGATCATCTTTCTTTTTTTTTCCCTCTGAAGATAAAAGTGGTGCAAAAAGAATGAAAAAGAAATCTGTGTTTTTTTTCCTTTTACCATATGTGTCCAGTTTGTGTATCTTTAAAAAATAGAAAAACGGCTACTGCGAGTGAGGCAGAAGGAAATACGGCGGTGCGCATAACACACAACGCGTGGGAAAAGTGATGTTCACCGTGTCGGAGGTTTTTGTTTTTGTTTTTGTTTTTGTTTTTGTTTTTTGGTTTGTGAAGAGCAGTAATGATTTTTGTTTTGTTGTTATTATTGTTGGGGTCTTCCGGGGGAGTGGCCCGGGTTTGGCGTGCGTGCGGTGGGGTAACACCCCGTGCGATTCTCTCGGATGTGCCATTGCGTGCCGTTTCTCTCAGTGCATGGTTTTTGAAGGACAATTAAGTTCATGGGCAGTTTTGTTTACCGCCTCCCGCACACGCCGCATCGCACACTTTCTGAGGTAAATTGGCCAGCCACGGCTGAATGGCCCAACGGCTTTTTACCACACTTTTGCTTGCCACATTCCCCGCAATTGAGTTGCCATTGCTGGTGGCCTTTGAGCCGTGGACGAAGCAAAAAAAGAAAAAAAACAACGATTTTGCCTCTCTGTGGTATTCCCTGGCGTCTTTTGCCACGCCGACAAGCCGAGGGTCCATCAGGGCAGTTGGCGGTGCACCGTCGGTCTTTTCGTAGTGAATAGCCGGCTCTCGGAGAGGTTGCGCCGGGGTGACCCCAGTGGCGGACGAAGGCTTCAGCGAGCAGCGGCGTGCCCGCGTTCAGTTCTAGGCGGTGCGGCATCGGCTGGGATGGGTGCAGCTGTTGCCTCGCCAAGGGGCTGCTCGGGTATAACGTTTGAGCGGCACGTAGGCGCACTTTAAAGGTCATCGCGTTCCGCTGTAAGGCTCAACGGCAGAACAGTGCCCTGGAATTGGGCCTCTCTCCTACGCCGCGCCTGTGCATGGGCCGCAAATGAGCAGTCTGGCAGATCTCCACATTACCACAAGGGTTTTGGCGGAAGACTTCGAGACGTTGTGCCACGGTAGGGTCTGCGACGCCTCATATTTGGGTTGGTGGCATCTGAATCAGTGGGCCCGGAGGTGTGGGTGCGTGGGGCCGTCGAATTTCCCAGAATAGGCGCCAGTGCGTTATCACGGCGTGGGAGCAGCAAGAATTGACAATAAGGTGTGATGCCGTTGGGGTGCCGTGCAACCACGAGAGGAGGGCGGTCGCGCTGATCTACGAGACTTTGCGAGGCCTGAGGGAGGCGCCGTTCCTTCGCACAAACTTCGCCCAGGACAAGGGGGACGCAGTCTCCCGCAA